TGAATTTGGAGAGTCCCCGCTCTAGGAGAACACAGGACACCATCTCAGATCCACGAAATCGCTCGTGCCGATGGTTAGAAATGAGAGTTGACTTCTTCCTGGGAGATGGAACCCAAGTCAAGTGGACATGGAAATTCTGCTCCCCGTTGTGGTCACAAGTCAAGGACTACCCATATTCTGTTTACTTCCAAGGGGAATCTCTGATCTGCAGCACCATAATCATTGATAAAGTGCGGGGGGAAAAAGAAAGTATAACGCAACTCACCAAAGCCCAGGGGCTGCCCACCAATTCTCACCATCCTCCAGAGTTCTCCCGAGGAACTGGTCAACAGCAGGTCGCTAGGGAACCTGGGAAAGGAGAGGAAAATCCGACATTTTCTCCACAACGTCACCCACTGGAGCAAAGCTAACCCAGATGGTTGCTGGACTCAACTAAGGAACCTCCAAGATGTCTTCTACTGCCTGCCCTTTCATCAGTGGACCCAGGAGGTTCTCTGCCCAACACCATTCCTGTATGGATGATGTATATGCAACTAGGCTCCGTCTGTCACCAAAATGCTGAGTTCATGTTGATCATTCCAGAGAAAGAGGGGTTTGTTTGTTTTTCTATCACTGCTTGGGAGGTATCTGGGATTAAATCCTTTTGATATTAAAAAAAAATTGTATTTTGCTCCTAAATTTACAATTCTGTGAATCAATTTAAGCCAAATCAAGGATTCCATCTCGCAGTCTTGGCCACTTACGTCCTCTCAAACTATAATTGGCCAATCCATCGCGATAGATTGATAGATCAGACTTCACGAAGATTACTGGAACTCTCACTTATTGTAACGGGCATATAAAAAAACAGAATTTTGAAAATCCAGCAGAATTTTTCTCTCCTGACTCTTACATGAAAGAGAATCAAGATGGGGTAATCTTGAGTTTCTTTCTCACCCTTTTCTCCTTTCCGTGGCTATGTTGAGTTTATTAACTATTACAGAATAGCACAGAAAAACTGAGTTGGGAGGGAGGTTTGAGGTCTTCTAGTCCATTTCCCCTCCCCAAGCAGAAGACCCTACGCATCCTGGACAAATGGCTGTCCAGTCTCTTCTTGAAGACCTCCAGTGATGGGGCTCCCACAACTTTTGGAGGGAAGTCGTTCTATCGATTGATTGTTCTCACTGTCAGGAAATTCCTCCTTAGTTCTGGGTTGCATCTCTCCTTGGTTAGTTTCCATTGGTTGTTTCTTGGTCTTCCTTCAGGGGCTTTGGAGAGAGGTTGCCCCCCCCCCCCCTTCTTTGTGGCAGCCCCTCAAATATTGGAACACTGTTAACATTTCACCCTTAGTCCTGTATTCCTCTTTCAAGATTATCTCCATAGACATCTAAACAAGTCAAATGAGAATTCATCTTTCAACAAATCTATGGAACATCCCTGCAGGTATTGCAATTATTGCTCCTGGTGTAAATTACTCCTACTCAGGGGATTGCGTTCCTCTAAGCCACAGCAAAGCACAACACTCCCCTTTGTGTGGCACTCACTTTTTCTTGGTCTCTGCATCCATGACAATGGAGATGTAGCCCTCAATCAGTGAGAAGGCGAAGAAAGTAATGGACTCCTGATTGTTAGCAGCTCCATCTTTTGGGGGGCTGAAAAAGCCAAAGAAAGAAATGCCAACGTCAAATTTTGGACCATCAATGTCTCCTATTATGGACACATAGGACTTTTCTACTGCTATAAAAGAAAGGACCTGCGGTCCTCCCACATTTGGAGCTTAGATCACACAATCTGATCGCAGCAGAAAGATAAGATTAGGAAACATTCTGTAGGAGAAGAAGAGGCTGGGTTGGAAGGCGGCGTAAAAGGTGTCATCAGTTGAGAATCGTTGCGTTGTCACAAAAGAACCCAGTACAGCCCTGTGAATTCCACTGAGCCTTATCTATTGCCAATTTGGCTCTGACCATTAGTTGACCAGAGCCTCAGAGGTAGCAATGATATGGGCAGTCCTTGATTTACAATCATTCATTTTAATGACCGTTCAAAGTTACAACGGCACAAAAAAAAAAGTCAGTTATGGTTGTTTTTCACGCTTACAACTATTGCAGCATCTCCATGGTCATGTGATTAAAAATCCAGGTGCTTGGCAGTGGACTCATATTTATGATTATTGCAATGCCCTGGGGTCACATGATCCCCTTTTGCGACCTTCTGATAATCAAAATAATGGAGAAGCCGGATTCACTTCACAACTATTTTACTAACTTAACAGTGCAAAGGTTCACTTAACAACTGTGGGGGGGGGGGGAGGTTGTAAAATGGAGCAAAACTCACTTGAGAACAGTCTTGCTTAGCAAGGGGAATTTTAGGCTCCGCTGTCATAAGTCGAGGACTACCTATAAACCCTGGCCTAGAGCACTCCTGGTGGATCTTCCTTTTTTCTTAGCAACCTTCTCCCCCCCCACCCACACACAACCAGCACACATCAACCACTCACCTGGCTGAGTAGAACAGGACATCGATAAGTTTCGTGGCGATGGCTGGCAAGGTTTCGGGGGCGATGCTGAGAATGCAGAATCTGTTCTGAGGAGTCTGAATGGGATGGACTGTGGCGTTGAACTCTGGGAAGCAGAGAGAGAGAGAGAGAGAGAGACGCTGTCAGTCTTGCCCCAGTCTGATCCCTTAGGAAAGAAAAACCCTCGATTCCAGCTGTTCTGCTAATTAATTGTTCTCACTGTCAGGAAATTCCTCCTTAGTTCTAAGTTGGAGCTCTCTCTTTGTGATTTTCCACCCATTATGTGATGACCCGGGCATGGCACAAAGGCAACACAGTCACATAAGTAAGAAAAGTCCCTTTAATACCTCTAACTTTGCCCCCCAATGTCCAGTTACCTTCGGCTGGAGAAAAAACTCTCCCCAAAACAGCCTTTAAGTGGAGGAAATTCAGTCCGAAAACAAAGTACATACAAACTGTAAATAAAAATCCACACTAACCACTCTGCAGTAATTAACTTGATGGGGCAGGATAAGGAATTGCAGACTTCAAAGGCCAGCAAAACACACACAGTTGGGAATACCAGATGACGATACCAGATAATTCATGATTTGCTTGCAACAAATTGCTGTGCGCACTTCTCCCTTTTTAAACACTGTGTTCCCAGGTATGGCTAATGAAGGAAATCAGGGCCCTTTCCTCCCCCGTAAGCCATGCAACCCATGTTGCTCCCTTCTCCGTTCCTCCCTGCGTGCCCTAGGATGAAGAAGGGGTGGGCCTGGGTCTTCCTCTGAACTCCCTCTCCCTTGTTCTACCTCTACCCTGCTCTGCCCAGCTGGACAGTGCCCTTCCCCAGTTTCCTCCACAGCCAACAGAGCCAATCTCCCGCTCCCTGTCAGCTCCTCAGCCTCCCCCTTGGAATCAGATTCCGACAGGGGCATGACCCATTACTTTTTGTCCTGCCCTCTGGTGCTTTGGAGCACAAGTCAATCCCTTCTTCTCAGTCTCTCAAATATTAGAAGTACCCAAGTACTAGATAGAATTCATCTGTGTTGGTTTCACCAAGAGAAAATCCCACCTTGCTTTGCCTTGTGGAACCCGTTGCTGATGTCTTCACAGTTGGCAGGGGCCAGTTCTCCATTCTCCTCCTTATAAATTTCAAATTCGCTGGCCAAGGTGTGGATGACCACGGGCAGATCCTTCTCCCGGACCTGAAAGGCAGACCAAAGATCACCCAAATTGCGTTGCGGCTTCCATTTTCAACGGCTTCCATTTCTCCTGCTGGAGCACGGGGTTGGACTAGAAGACCTCCAAAGTCCCATCCAAACTCTCCGCTATTCCAAATCCTGACTTGATGCTGGTTGGCTAGCTGCTCCCTCTCGGTGTCGGCCGTTATCACCTCCCATTTACTTGTTGAACCCAGCCCTTTATCGTACCACGGTACCCACCCTGGTTCTGGAACCGTCTTCCCCCAAAAGCTCACCAAAATAAAATCCGTCTGGTAGGTGGACAGCATTAAGACAGAGACATTATGTTCGGCCAGGGGTGCGATGACAGATTTCGCAATCTTGGTGACTCCTATAGGCTGGTTGTTGAGGGAGGCGCTGCCGTTAGATGAGACGTTGAGCACCAGCCAGGTGGAATCCACCACTTGTAGGTACTCAGAGGCGTGAAGTTCTGGAAGAAATGTGAGAAAACCTCTTGGAGATCACACTAGAGCATAGAATCATAGGAATAGAAGAAAATCACCGAGTGGGAGATCTTCTAATCCAACCTTCTGTGCAAGGCAGGAGACCTTATATGGTCACCGTAAAATAGCCGCCCAGTCTGTTTTTGAAAACCTCCAATAATGGAGCACCCCAACTCCAGGAGGCAAACTATTCACTGATTCATTGTTCTGACTGTCAGGAAATTTCTCCGTAGTTCTAAGTTGCTTCTCTCCTTCATTAGTTTCCATCCATTGCTTCTTATCCTGCTTTCAGCTGCTTTGGAGAATAGCTTGACTCCCTCTTCTTTGGGGCAGCCCCTCAGATACTGGAAGACTGCTATCATGTCTCCCCTGGTCTTTCTCTTCATTAAGCTGGGCATACCTAGTTCCCTTCCTTCCTTCCCTTTCTTGTCCCTTCCTCCATTTTTATCCCCCGTTCTTCCTTCTTTCCTCCCCTCCCTATTCCTCTGTTGTGCCCCTTCCTTCCTTCCCTTCCTCCCTTCCCTCCTTATCCCCCTGTTATGCCTCTTCCTTCCTTCCTTCCTTCCTTCCTTGTCCCTCCCTCCATTTTTATCCCAATCTTCCTTCTTTCCTTCCCTCCCTATCCCACTGTTGTGCCCCTTCCTTCCCTCCCTTTTTTGCCCCTCCCTCCATTTTTATCCCATTCTTCCTTTCCTTCCCTCCCTATTCCACTGTTGTGCCCCTTCCTCCCTCCCTCCCTCCCTCCCTCTTTTAGCCCTTCTCTCTTTCCTTCTTTCCCCCTTTATGTTGGCCTACAACCACAATAAAGATTTGATTTCATTCAAACGCTTCCCCCCTCCCCGTGCAGCCCGTTTCTCTCTCCCATCCCCCACTTCCAGAAAGCACCAGGGGGGTTTCCTTTGCCCTCCCCCCACGGGTGGACATGCTCCCTGGGAACAGCACAAAGCTCTTCTCCCAGCCTCAGAAGATCCCACCTTCCCTCAACCTTTGCCAACCTGCTGCCAAGGCCGCTCTGGAGCCACTCCAGGGTCCAGCGGTAACAAAAGCTGCTACGGTCAGCAAGGACCGGCCGGCAGAATAGTTTCCCACTCCCCATGCTCCACCGGGCAAGTGGAACACCCTGAGATAAACATCTGTTCCCCTTCATCCTTGGAAATCTACAGATGGGCAGCCAAGACTTTGTTCCCTTTCTTGGAATCGCGGGAACACCTCACGAAAGAGTCCAACAGAAGCAGAGTTATCATTTCCATTTTCCAGGGCTGCAACTTCCTCCAATTCGTCGGCCCTGCATCGCAGCTGGGGAATTCTAGGAATTGAAACCCAAACATCTGGAGGGCACCTATTTGGTTGTCTCCCTTCCAAAATAATCCCATTCACAGGAAGCGACTTTGCACCGTGTTAAAACTGGCTGCTCAGAATGGTTGCACCAGAATCCACCAACTACCTTCCGTTTTGGAGCACTAGGAGCAAATTGGGAGTGGTTTGTGGCATACTTCCCCCCCCCCCCCCCATCCAAAAACTTCAGATGTTCCCTCGGAATAGTAGAGGGTTGAGGGAGAAGCACTGGATAAAAATCCGTAAGGAAATGTCAGGATTAACGGGGCAAAAAGAGAGAGAGAAAAGGGAGGAGGATGGAAATTACCGCCAAAGGATTGCAAAGGTACTTAGAATATGTGGTTTTGATGATTAGGAAAACAATGGGATAATAGAAATAATAGAAAAAAAGGAGCTTTTGGGGGAGAAATCATAGAGTGGAGGGCAGTTTTGTAGTTCTATTATATATCTGCTGTAAAAGAAATTGTCAGAGGCTCCTTCCTCCTTCCCTTCCCTTCTTTCCTTTCCTTCTTCCCTTCCCTTCTCTTCCCTCCCTCTCTTTCTCATCTTTCTTCCTTTCCTTTCCTTTCCTTTCCTTTCCTTTCCTTTCCTTTCCTTCCCTTCCCTTCCCTTCCCTTCCCTTCCCTCACCCCTCCCTTCTTTTCCTTAACTCTTAACCCACTGGATGCTGTTCATGTAGTACACCCACAGGTCCCCATTCCAGGTTCCCAGCATGATGACATTCCTTCTGATCTGTATCTTTATTCTCTTGCAGTCCCTTTCTCTCCAACCAGTCTGTGCTGCAGGATAGAGAGAGGAAAACGGAACTGTGCCACCTATACCGACCTTAACGGCAGTCGCAAAACTGAGGTAAGCAGTGAAGGTAGGAAAACAGTCAGAAATCGGCTACAAATTTATTGTTTTCAGTCCTGGCCACAGCAGAACGAGCGGTCAGTAAATGAGGAAAGACCTGCACTCCAAAAGGTGCTCCTACCTTTGAAGCCATCTTCATCCACCATGATGGTATAGTCTTCAGGAGTCTCTGTTAAGCTGAAAAACCGACACCTGGGAAAAGAGGAGAGCGTGAAGTCAAGCTTATGAACTGGTTCTGTGAAAGTTTCCTCCCTTTGGACAGAAATTGGAAAAAATCACCCTCAACTACCAAGGACCACTAGGCTGAATTCGGATTAAGGATGTTTTTCTGTATCCCTATCCGGGAACTGAGATAGACAGTTTGGTCTAGTGGTTAAGGCACCAGGCCACGACTTAACACTGTAATTCCTGCCTCACTTGGTTATAAGTCAAGATTTACCTGCATTCTTGTCTAAGGCAAATATTTCTGTATCTGTGTATATTCCTAACGCATTTATATCACTGACATGATTTTAAGCTACTGCACTGTCTATAAATGAGTCCCCTATTTGACTATACCACTCTAGACAAAGTCTACATCGATAGGCCAACCCAATCATAGGTGGCGAATCCAATCAGGCCCTCATATCGTTGAGTGAAAGATATATTTATCTTGCCAATGTGGCAAGTCCTTTGGCCAAAGTAAGTCACCCTTACATTAAAAAAAAAAATCAAGATCCTTTAAAAGGCTTTGGAGCAGCAAAGCAAATCCCCAGAAGTGTTTAAACTCGGGGTCTCCAATCTTGGCAACTGTGGACTTCAATTCCCAGAATTCCCCAGCGAGCTGAAGTTCACAAGTCTTAAAGTTGCCAAGGTTGGACACCCTTGAATAAAACTCTTCATTTTCCTCTCTAAAAGGTGGAGACACCCTGATTTTCAACTATTCAATCATCTTTCTTTCTTTCTTTCTTTCTTTCTTTCTTTCTTCTTTCTTTCCTTTCTTTCTTTTTCTCTCTTTTTCTTCCCCTCCTTCCCCTCTTTTCTTTTTTCTTTCTTTCTCTCTTTTCTTTCTTTCACTTGCACTCTTTTCTTTCTTTCTTTCTTGTTTGTTACTTTCTTTCTCTTTTCTTTCTCTTTTTCTTTCTTTCTCTTTTCCTTTTTCTCTCTCTTTCCTTTCTTTAATTTCTTTTTCTTCCTTCCTTCCTTTCCTTCCCCCTCTCTCTGTTTCTTTCTTTCTTTCCTTCTTTCTTTTTCTTTCTTTCTTTCTCTCTTCCTCTCCCTCCCTCTCTCTCTCATGCAGACACACACAGACGCACTCCAGCAAAATATTTCAGGCTACCCCTTCAAGCTTGGGAGAAAAAAAAAATCCACTGATATTTTTACCCAGGGCCTCTTAAAACAACCAAAAGAAAATGATCCAGCTGCACTCAACCGCAGTCACACAACACAAGCCTGTTTAACCACGACAGGGAGATGCCCTGCCCTTTCAGTCGGACACACAACTTGTTTATTCCCTTGCCAGAGTTTGAGAAAGGGGGAAAAAAAAGACTGTTTGAGCAGATCAAATGGGCCGGAATGAAACGGATTGCTGATTCACGTGCTTGGAGTTGGTGCATGTAACGTCCAGCTCATTGGTGGCAAATCAGCCACAAATGCTGGTGTTTCTCTACCCCAAAAATTTTTTTTGGCACCGCAAAAGGATTAAGCCAGATTTTTTGAAACTGTTTCAGGCTTTGATAGACGAGAATATCTGTAGCTCAGCGTTCAACTGTGAGGTCCTTGGTGTTTTCTGAGCTTAGCGGTTTTCTTGCAGACGTTTTATGACCCAACTGAGTAACATCATCAGTGCCAAGGGGTTTTAAGGCTCGTTTATCATGCTGCTTTTTAAAACCACAATTTAAAAAAATCTGTTGTTTTTCTACAATTTTTAGCCACCACAGAAAGAACTGTAAATGTAAAGCAAACAACTTTAACCTAGGCAGGGCAGAACAGAAACCTTAACCTTTTCTAATGAACAGTTCTAGAATTCCAATAAAAGTAAACCTTATTTATCAAACACAGTTGGCCACTTGGCCATTAAACAAAGCAGTCCCTAAGTGAATCTGCAACAGTGTTTACGATCTGACTTCAGCTTGGCTGGTTGGGGAATTTGACCATTCGATGATACCATTTAACCGGAATGGTATAAGATCGCCTTATACCAGGGGACCAGGGGTTGGACTAGAAGACCTTTTGCGGTCCCTTTCAACCCTATGATTTTTTTTCGCTGGCTGGGGAATTCTGGGAGTTGAAGTCCACCCATCTTGAAGTGGCTGAGTTTGAAAAAAAACAGTGAGCTAAATTTACCAAATCATTTCGCTGGCTGACCAGATTTTGGGAGAAAAAGTCCAACCGGTGAGTTAAAATTCACCAAAGGCAGCCAGCAGAAATCAGGTGAGAAGGGAGGGAAGAGGAAAAGGAGAAAGGGAAGAACAACAAAGGGGAATTTAAGGAAAAACAAGAGTGAAGAAATCTCATTAACAAACTACCTGGTTATCCCAGGTGATCGGAATGCCGTATGGGCGGTAAGCCTCAATATTTTTCTTCCATGTTTGCCAGAAATATATATATATATATATATTTTCTTTTCAATAAGGCCACGAATACATCAATCACTTTCAGGGCTATGAAAAGTGAAGCCATTTCACATCACGGAGGGGGAAAAAAAAACAATATTTTTTTTTCCTGGCTTCATGTTGATTTAAGTCCTGGGCCATCCCTTTCACTGTACAAAGATTAAGGAAGATTTTTTTTTTCCTTTATTCTAACAGCCAAACTTTTAGTTTTTCAAATTGGAAACTGTTTCGGACTTGTTTACAGTGCAGCCTTAAGGCTTTTCAAAACAAGAACAGGAATTTGTTGTTTTTCTAGGACGTGTGTAGCTATCGCAGAAAGAAGTGTAAATGTAAAACAAACAAGAAAAGAAACAGCCCTTTGAAATGGAGCGAGGCAAAAGGTGAAAAATGCAAAGTATATTTTGCGGAATTATTTTGTTTTACATCCTACAATTAGACGCGTTCTAGGTACCGTTTTGTGCCTCCGCAAAGGCACAATTTCAGACTCTGCTTTTTCAGAGAAAACCCTATTTTTTTCTTCTTTAAAAACCACTCGGTGGGGGAGGCGATTTGTACCTTTCGGAAGCTGCAGAGTTTAAAGAGTTAAGCAGCCAGATAAGACGCGGAGTAAGTAGCTAAAGGAAGTAGGAAACGGCTTGCAAAGCAGGAATTGGTGGAAAACAATAGGTAGTAATGCCAAGGAACTGTGCTGGAGAAAGACGCCAGTCTAAGAACAAAATAGAAAACAGAATTAGGCCATAAGGACTGCTAGGAAGGAAGTTTGGGAGAAAAAGAGGAAGGCAATTGCACAACTAGCTGACCTGGAAACTGTATCTCTAGTTTAGAAGGACCAGGGGAGACATGATAGCAGTCTTCCAATATTTGAGGGGCTGCTATAAAGAAGAAGGAGTCAAGCTATTCTCCAAAGCACCAGAAGGCAGGACAAGAAGCAACGGATGGAAACTTACAAAGGAGAGAAGCCAACCTAGAATTAAGAAGAAATTTCCTGGCAGGGAGGCCAATTCACCGGTGGGACTGGAGGTTTTCAAGAAGAGATTGGACCACCTTTTGTCTGGAATGGTATAGGGTTTTCTTGCCTAAGCAGGGGGTTGGACTAGAAGACCTCCAAGATCCCTTCCAACTCTGTTATTCTGTTTTTGTCTTCTGTTACAAATTTCACACTGATTGCAAATTCTGAGCTGGCAGGCTTCGTTTTATCTCCAAGGGTGCAAAAGCAACTTGTGAAACCAGAGAGAAATTGTGAGGCAAACAACCAACAACCTGCTTGGTGCTGATAGGGAGCCAGCTGTGCCCTCCAGATGTCCTGAACAGATGACTCTGAAAGTCCTCTTTCAAAACACACACACACACACACACACGTTAGAAAACTGAAGAGGGAATTTTCCACTGTCTGAGATTCTTTGCTATGGCGAAGATAAGCAAGGAAAACAATAATGACCTCCGAAAAAGCTTTAGCTAAGCTTAACTGGGATGGAAGCAGAATTCCTCACATCCCTACACAGGTAGTCCTTGACTTATGACAACCGAGCCCTAAATATCCGTTGCTCAGCGAGACGGGCGTTAAGGAAATTTCACCCCATTTTTCCTACCGCCGTTGTTAAGTGAATCAATGCACTTGTTTTTTGTTAGCCCCACGATTGTTAAGAAAATCCAGCTTCCCCATTGACTTTGCTTGTCAGAAGGTCGCAAAATGGGATCGCGTGATTTCCCCCAAAAAACTGCAACGGTCATAAATACGAAGCGATAGTCAAAGGTGTGGATTTTGATCACCTGACGACGGGAATGCTGCAACGGTTGTTAAGCGTGAACAATGGTCTAAGTCAGTGCTGTCGTAGGTTCAAACGGTCACTAAACAAATGGCTGGATGTGGAAAACTACCTGTAGTAACTTGACTACCTGCTAATTCTATAAATGAAGTCAAGTAGCATTTTTATCAGTCGCAACTCTCCCACAAAAATAGAAGCCAGAACTAAGAATTGGAGCATTCACGGATATAAAAACCCCAACGCTTCTTAATTAAAAGTGGCACAATAATCCAAGGCAGCTTAAAAACAGAGACAGCAACCAGCAATCCTTATATTTGCAAAAACAAACAAACAAAAGTTTGAAAGACCAAAACAAATGCCAAAGACAGCAGGAATTTAGCAACAAGTCCCCCCTTTTAAAAACATTTTAAAAATTATTTCTGCAATTCCAAATTCCACCCGAAAGAAAGAGCAAAACCTTAAGAAAGAGAGGAGAGAGAGAGAGAGAAGGAGAGAGGAGAGGAGAGAGAGGAGGGGGAGAGAGAGAGAAGGAGAGAGAGAGAGGGAGGGAGGAGAGAGGGAGGAGGGGAAGGAGAGAGAGAGAGAAGAGATGAGAAGAGGGAGAGAGGAGAGAGAGATGGAGGAGAGAGAAGAGATGAGAGAGAGAGAGAGAGAGAGAGAGAGAGAGAGAGAGAGAGAGAGGCTGCCAACTCTTGCAAAAAAGTGCAGGGGCGGGAAGAATTTAGGAAAAAATAAATTGCTTCAAGAAGGGAAAATAAACATAATTTGCTCCAAAGGGGAAAAAAAAATAAACTGCTTCAAGAGAAACCAGCCCTTGGCTGGGGGAGGAAAAAAAGAAAAGAAAAGGGAAGAGCTGTTTATTTTCCTTCAAGGCTTTCAGACCAGCCTTGGGGGCGTCTCGTCCTGGTTATGTCAGGATTGCACCCGGGTGCCCAAAGCCAAAGTAAATGTGGCATTTAAAAGGTACGGGAAAGGGAGGGGGGAAAGGGATCCTCCTGAGCTAATTGGGGTCCAAGGAGCCCCTTTTCAAGAACTGGGGGAAAGTTTGGCCTCAGCTGCCCCCCCCCCCCCCCCCCCAAAAAAAAACAACAAAACCACAGGAGCAGTCAAAGCCAAGGTTCACGGGCCTCTTTTAAAAAAGTTTGTGCACCATTTACGGCATTTGGTTTTTGGGTGGGGAGGCTGCGTTCCTGAATTTATGGGGCCACAACTCCAACCTCCCATCTGGGGACGATGGAAGATGTAGTCCAAGAGCTCTAGAAGAAGCCCAGGTTGGAAGAAAAGATTTTTTTAAAGATTTTAAATTTAAAAAGACAGTGCAGAATTTACAGTATTTGGGTTTTGCCTGGGGAGGCTGGTGCAGTCTCCGTTCCTGAAATTAAGGGATAGGAACTCCTTGGGGACGATGGGAAATGTAGTCCAAGTGCTCTAGAAGGGCCCAGGTTGGAGGAAATCTTTCTCTTTAAGAAATACTCTCCCTCCCAGTTCCCAAATGGGTGTAATCTTACACACAACTCCTCTCTCTTTGGCTCAACCCTGCAATTTCTTTACCGATCTTGGTAGGCCTCTTCTGGGTTTCTTATCCACACGGGTCGCTTTGAGTTTCCCCTGACTACAAGTCCCATCGTTCCCAGACCAACCCAGCCAGTCGGTCTGCATGGTGAGAGCCTAAGCAAAGCGAAAAAGGAAGCCAGATATTGCGGGAAAGGCTGGGGGACAGGTTCTCACATCACCTGGGCTAAAGTGAGGGCAACCAGGCTGCAATACTCCACAGGATCTCCAGATGGCAGTAGAAAGCGTCTTTGTCGCCATCTACAGGGCTTCTGGAGAACTGCAGCCCACTTTTTTGATGCCCAGAAAGATTGTGGGCCTCTTCAGAGGCTACCAACAACCACTATATGGCAACAGACACAACTCTGCTCTATCCACCCGTGCACCGGACTGCCTCTCTCTTGTATACACGCTTGTATACGCACCCAGACATGCACACGTCATGCCTCCATCCTTAATTTGCAAGCACACAGCAGAGAAGTTATTTCCTCCCCCCACACACACACATACTGGTCAGAACAGAGTTGGCGGGTCTTTAGCCCCCCCCCCCCCGCCAATTCGGAGCACGTGTGCAAACACCAGCTCTGATCCACGCCTGTGGTCACTCCGATAACACTCCGCCTGCGCAGCTTCTCCAGCCCACCTTCCGCGACACGCATGTCAGTGCTTTGCCACTTGCACCAACGCCCGTGTCTGCCCGGTCTCTCCACCAGGCGAGCCGCGGCGACACGCGCGTCTGCGGCGCCCTCCCGCGTAGTACCAGCCTGGCTACCCTGACACGCGTGTCTGCGCCTTCCCGACTGCACCAACGTTTGCACGGTCTCTCCTCCACCGGGCTAGCCAACCGCGTCCGTGCCCGCCGGCGGGCCCCAACCCGCCGGCCGCGCGGCCTCTCCAGCCCCGCCCCGCCCCGCCGACACGCGTGTCTGCGCCTTCTCACGTGCGCGCACAGGCGGCCCCGCCGCGCCGTCCCACCTGCTGCGCTGGGGCAGGAGCAGCATCTTGAGCAGCGGGTGGGTGTAGAGCCAGAGGCCGCGGCGGGCGAGGCTGAGGACCCGCACGCGGGGCTCCAGGATCCGCAGCTCCATGGCGCAGCCAGCAAGGCCGGCGCTCAGCCCCAGCGCTGGGCTTTACGCAAGCCGGGCCCGCGGCGCCGCCTTCTTCCCCAGGCCCGGCCCGGCCCGGCCCACGGGGTGGAGAGCGCCGGCCCCGACCCACCCCCGGCCCGCCTTCGCCGCTTGGCTTGGCTTGGCTCGGCTCGGCTCGGGACGCCTCTGAGCTCGTGCAGAGCGCTTGGGCAACGGCGCGCACAAGGGGAGCGAGCGGGCCAGGCGCGCCTCTGGGTGTCCTTCGCTTTCCCTTCGCGGGTGCTGAACGAGAGCCGGGGCTTCTCACGACCCCGCTCGGCCGCCTTGCGGGTTTCGTGGGCTGTTGGCTAAGCAGGTCGGGTGCACCCGCCCTTCGCCTTGAACTTTTAAGCTTTCCTTCCTTCCTTCCTTCCTTCCTTCCTTCCTCCTTTCCTTCCTTTCTTTCCTTCCTCCCTGCTTCTTTCCTTCCTCCCTTCTTCTTTCCTTCTTTCCTTCCTTCCTCCCTCTTTCCTCCCTTTCTCCTAACTTCCCTTTCGTTTCATTCCTTCCTTCCTCCTCTTTTCCTTCCTGTTTTATAATCTCTCAACTTTCAATTTTTTTCTTTTATTCCTTCCTTCCTTCTAACTTCCCTTTCGTTTCCTTCCTTCTCCCTCCCTCTCCCTCCCCCTCCTTTCCTTCCTGTTTTATCTCTCTTCATTTCAATTTTTTTCTTTCTTTTAATCCTCCCTTCCT